GGTGATTATATTATTTAATGATTAATTTTTTTAATTGTATTGAAATATATAATATATATTATATGCATCCACTCATTAATAATATATAAAAATTACTTATATAAATAAAAATCAAATAAAAAAATTATTCACATACCATCACCTTATTTAATTTTTTTTTTTTTTGGTAAAAAGTTGATGTAGTTATTGTATAAGCCACCTTATTGTCATTTCTAATTTTAGTCCTCTGTATCACTGTTTTTTAATTAACAACTTTTGTTTATTTTTTTATTCTAAACTATATAATAAAAGATAATTTTTTCTCATTTATTAATTTATCTCAATTGTATATTATGTAACTTAAGTTCAAAATCATTTTACTTTCATACAAAAAAAATATCATCAAATTAATTAAGTGATTCCCAATATAAGATATATCTTTTGTTTTGTTTTTTTTTAAACAAATATAAAATTTACCAATAACTTGTTAGTTTGATTAAAAGAAACTTAATTATTTTTAAATAACAACTTGAGTTTAAATAAAAAAAACAGTAACTAGAAGAATTTCTCCCTCATTAAGTCTGACCCAAATTGATTTTATATTAATTGAAATTAAATGTGATTTTTAAATTTAAAGAGATTAAGAAAAAAACAAATATAATTATATATATATATATATTCAGGGGCGGAGGCAGAAATTTTCTTCAAAGAGGGCAAAATGCTAAAATTTTCAAAGTTTAAGGGACTAGATAATTTTTCATATACTAATTATATACTGATTTGCAATATTTTCAAATTTCAGATAAGCGAGCGCTTTCCCTCGCACCCCTGGCTCCATCACTGTATATATTCAAACCAATGTCATATTGCTTGATTCGCCCTTTCACAACTTGCTGGTCGGCGCAAAATATCTTCCCTTAATGGAAAGATTCTGGTTTGTTTTCGGCGAGAGAAATTGTCTGATGTGGACTTTGCTGATTCGTCCACCAGTTTTGTGAAGGCTGACGAAGTCAAACCAAATATTATCATTGATTTAAGTAACTGTCACGCGGTTTCTGCCCGAAATTTCATAGATGAGGCGGACCCCTCGTCTGAAAAAGGAAAATAAATTAAGATTTTTATACATAAATTTTATATATTATATTTATATATATATATTTTTTAATAATTAAAATTTATTAATCTAACACTAAATGTTTTATTTGCCACCCTTTGAAAGTACGACTAAACATAAATGATCTGGATCTTATTCTCATGTCCTATTTTCCCTTTCCCCTTTCCTTGGAAGATTCTCTTTTTATTCAAATAATAATAATAATAATAATAATTAAAGTTTATTATAATTTTTAAATAAAAAATTATTTTTAATAAATATAAATAAATTTTAACTATTAAAAATAAAAAATAAAAAATTAAAATTTTATGTAATTATAATTTGTAAAATTTGATCTGTAAATGTATTTGAACTTATGAGTTAACAATGCTACTACAACAGCTTTGAGCTTGTGGATTTTTTATTTTCATGCATTATAAAGTATCTAATGGTTGTAAGTTATATATAGAAGTAATATATTTATAATGTTAAACGT